CGAGAGTGGCTCTCGGGAGGCGCCGAGTACTCGTACTCGTACGAGGGCACCTCCGCCCCTGCTTGACCGGAATGGAGAAGCCCACTTCCACGTGGAGCGGATCCTCCAGGAGCAGCGGTGTCGCGGCAAGCGACAGCTCCTCGTGAAGTGGAGGAGTTATGCCCACTCCGAGAACTCGTGGGAGCCGATTGAACGGCTCCTGATTGACTGCCCGAAGGCTGTCGCAATCTGGGAACAGAAGCGGCGGCAGCTTCATAAGTAGTCCGGGGCTTCTTGCCCGAACGGGGTACGGACGATGAATACATACCGTACCCGCGCTCATCGTGAGCGCTAGAAGCCGCGCGCTTCAGGATGTCCCTTCGCAGCATACGCTTGCTGATCAAGTGGGCAAACCTCACACGAAGATCACGCTGGTCCAGGATGTGGGACAGCTGCTGATCTTCATGGAGTTCCCATAACTCCGTGGGCGAGTACTTGAGAGTCTCCACCCACGCCCAGAACATGTCCTCACAGGAACTCCACGTGGGACAGTTCTCGGGCATAGCCCAGGGGTATCCCCAAACAGGATAGAGACCACCCCGGGTCTCGGGCTTCTTACGACAAGTCGTGAAGTCCTTAAGGGGAATGCGGTGTTGCGCGAGAAGCACACACCGAGCAGCCTCCAAGTTGTCGACGAACAACTGCTCTTTCTGAACAAGGGCTCGTTCATAGATGCCCCTAGAAGTGTGGCCGCCCACAAGGCCACGAGGAGCGACGAGAAGCTCTAAGAAGAGGTCAGCCCCAGAGCTCTCCTCGGGAGGCCAATACCCTCTTGCGTTGATGGCAGCTCCCTGGCTGACGGGTGCCGCCACCGAACCCCCACGCACACGCTGGGCAGCTTGGAATTCCTCCTGCTGCTGGTCGAGGTCATTCGAGACCTCCCGGGGCTCAACGATAGCACCCTCCTCCTCCTCTTCTTCCTCCTTCTCCTCCTCTTCATCCGAGGAGCCGAAGAGACTCTGATAGGAGCGTCGAGTCTCCTTCTCCTCGCGGAGTGGAGACTTAGAGGCGGTACGCTTCTTTGAGGGCTTGGCGCCTTCGGCTTTAGAGGCCTTAGCGCGCAAGACCCTCGGCAAGCGAGAGACGTTTGCGAGGATTCTCTTCCTCATCGCCACCGGCTTTGGGAGCGCCCTTAGCCTTAACGGCCGGACTCTCAGAGCGCACAGAGGTCCTAGGACTGTGATCACCGTGATCACTAGCGGGCGACTGCACGCTGCCTTCTTTGTGCTCACTGGGCACTGGGCTGTGCCCTCCCACAGAGCCCGCAGGAGCATCCTGAGTGCTCTCGGACTCGGCATCGTCTTCACTGCCCGAGTTGAACTCGCGTTCTACGAACCGAGGGTTCGGACGGTTGTCTGAAGACGAGGGCGACGGACTGCGGCGCCTGCTTGCGCGCTTGTCCGCAGCCGCGTCACCCGAGGAACCGATCGCCTCGGAGGCCACATGAGTAGCCTCCTTGAGTGCAGAGCCTTTGCCGTGAGGCTTAGTGCTCTTGGCCTGCGCCTTACCGGCTGCAGCCTTGGAGCGTGTCTTAGCACCGCTCTTAGCAGTGCCGCGAGGCATGTTAACGGTCGAAGTGGAGACCTTGACGAAGAGCGCACAGGTTGCTGCTCGAGGCTCTAACTGTGAAGTGAGCCTCCGCCGCGCTCGCGCGGCCAAGTCGATGGTTTTCGACTTTGAGAATGAGAGTTTGTGACGAACACCTCTTCATTCTGATTGGTCGGTAAGCCGAACCTAAGTGGGGGAGGATGTAACGGGGTACGTAGCCCTAAGTGTACCCTGGTTACATGAAGTGTGACACTTCACACTTCAGGAGTATGACACGTCATACTCCGAGATATTTGGTACAAGGTACCAAGGTCGTTCAAAGCCAACCATTGGTTAAATGACATTGCATTTCTATTGGTAACTAACAGTTTGTATTAAACCCAAACTTAATCTACCTATAAATATACTCAGTTTACAATCTACCTTATTTGGGTCACTTCGCTCTCTTTAATAAAAGAGGGGACCTGTGAACTGCCGTTCACTGAGAGTTTGTATACTCTCGGAAGATAACTTCCTCTTGCGCAAGGTGCTGTGTGACCCCGTCACATCTAAGATAGACACAATGCACTTTCCACTATCGTCTTTCTAAATACAGCTCCTTACATGTTCAAAATCTACAGACTCACTCTTAACAAAAGCCTTGAACGCCGCAATGGCGGTTGCTTTTGCGCGTTTTGTGTTTCCTGCTTGAGCTCTTATAGTCCCATCCTTGTCGGATGGTTTGCAAATATGCAAGTGATACATTCATCACTTAATTTTGGAATAGAAATACACATATTTTTCGTGTTCTTCCGACTTGATACGTCGGATTGGCTGACTTATATATGATTCACCTATCCCTTAAGTAAATATTTTTTTGCTAAAATAAGGCGATTGTGCTATTGTGATTAGTCCAAATTTATGTAAATGCTGTAATAGGTTACTTTAGGCGCTTACAAAACCCAAGTAAGGTCGTATAAGTGATGATATTCATCCATAACATGCACAAAATGCAAACAATGTCATAATGCCATAATTGTATTTGCCCAACTGTAGCTATGACGCTGCTGAGCAGTTGGATATTCTCAATACGCCAGCAGATATCACAGGTGTGTCTCAAGGACGGCTCCTGCAACGCGGACTTGGACGCTCACCCTCAAGCGGAAGATTCCTATTGGCGAACGGGTGTTTTTTGCCAGTGATTCCGGCTACAAAGAGTCCATCGTACGTGGCCACCAACGTCTTCTCTACGACATTGTGATAGATTCGATGTTTCTTCTTGATACCGAGGCGAATCACTACATGAATAAAAAATATTTTCCAGAACTGTCACTTGCTGGCGCGACAATGGGCATTTAGACAATCTCGCAAAATTTGGTGTACTCCACCAAAAGTGTGCAAAATGTGGCATAATACGGCACTCAGCTATCGACGTCGCAACCCTTGACACCGATTCGACGTCGACGACGCCGTTTTCGTCTGATCTTTTGCACTCGATGTCGCGTTGCACCACGCCGACACCCATTGGATTCTCGTAGTGTTATTGGTCGAAACTATGCGACAGAGCCCAGTAATAACCTGCCATTTTTCAGCTTGCTAGCTGCCATATTTTCCATGCGCATGACTCCTACTTTAAAAATATCATGGATCTTGGCAAGCCACTAAGATTATTCCGCGCCCAGCGTACCGTTCATTTTGCACCACTCAGCGCCAATTCAGTACAGCCATATTGATTTGACGCCAAACTACCGGTAGTGAACAGGTGCACTTGTTTGGCGTCAAACGATGACCGCGTGGTAGATGCTAAGGCAGCATAAACCGCGCGGTCATCCGAACATCGACCAAGTGACATGAAGCACTCGTATGCACGAGATCAGTGTGGACCAATAATTGATGCCTGGGCACTGCAGATTCTGTCAATCCCTGTTTGCTGTTGTTCGACGTGCGCATCGGACGTTCCTCTGCGGGCTTGTACCAAAAGGATGCTCCAAACGGCCATGGAGGATGAACAACAACTGATCTCCACGAACAGCAGCAACTTAATTCGAAAGAGTGACTCATAAGTGGGTGTCGAAGGGTGTATTTTTTTTACGTCGTTTGCGATTTTGGACGTCGAGGGGTAAGTACACCAGACGTCGACAGCAGTGCTTACAATTATGCAAATCTTCTTAATGACTGATCTATTCATAATAATCACAATTGAATTTAAGAAGCAGTCCACCATATGATATGACATCTTCTTCCATTGTGATTAGATAAGCCATTAAATTAAAAAAGCGTGCTTCTTATTATGCTAAGTGTAAATTTAAGTGATTTCCCTTGCACTGTCTTTTTTGCATGTGCAGTATCGGCTGGTTTAGACAGTTACTAATAACCTTTCTACAAATTGTACGGTTTTGTACAACAAAACCGGCAGGAGAAATGACTGGCTGTAATTGACAGCACCAGGTCTTCATGATTTGTGCTTAAATGGAAGCACAAATCATTCTTGAGCAGGTGATGGGCTATCGGATAGGCTATCCGTGGATTTATTTCGGGCCATTCTCATTGAAAAGTGAAAAGTTTTCAAATGCGTTTAATAAAGTAAGTGAGTTATAAAATGGGGCATTTTGGTAGACGTATTAGATTAGAATGTTTGTAAGGATGACCACTATTAATAAGCAACGTTAAATAGCTACCAGTTTAACTTACCACCTGATCTTCAGTGTAGAAATGTGGAGTGATATTTCTTAAAAAGGCGACACAAACGATTACTATCAATAAGCTTAACTTAGGGAACGTTAAAGAAAGTTAAGACATACTCGCTGCATCTCTAGTAACAACCTACATCCGCTTTGATTGGTGTCCCCTGGTAGAATTCTTTCAAATTGACCACAAGCCGATTAGGAAAGCTGATACCGGAACATTCTATATATTATAGTGAATATAACTTCATGTCAGCTATTTGTAATTCCCGCGACAATTACCCAGATCTTGTTGCTCTGAGATCCTTTTAAGTGAACGGGCTACAATCCTCGATCTCCTTTGAGTACACGTAACCCACTCACTTTTTTGGGTAATACAAAGGGTAACCCTTTTCACTGAATGTAGGAAGTGTCCCTTTTTAAAAATCCGGTCTTATACTGTAGGATTAAAGCTTGTCAAGCATAGCTCGAGGGTGACAGAATTCCAGCCGACTCCTCCACTTTGGAGATTTGCAGTCTCATGACACCCGCTCTCCCATTCCCCATGGTGTGAGTCACAGCTGTGACCCTATTACTGCTGGACAGTGGTACTATCGGTACATTCCCTGATTTTGCTTAAATGCGACATTTTAAAGCCGCTTTCATGATGAGTCCTGGCATGATGAAAGTTTCATCGTGCCAGCCAGGACTCACCGTCACCCTCATTCTTCAATTCTTCGACTCTGAAGCAAGCCCTTTCAAGAGAAAAAAATGCGACTTGCTTTCCTCCTGCTTGCCGTTTCACACTTTATCTGCGGGAACGCACTACCAACAAACGTGAAGAGCTCGCCAGTGGTGTCGCCTGGTCTAATCCAGTCGTTTGACAATGCGCAGAAACCCGTCGTCATGAGCAGAAAACTTTTGCGCACTGATGAACGTTTGAGCGAAGCCAATGAAGAGAGAACCAAACTGAGTGAGCTGTTCCGTCTCGACGACGATGAAGTGGCGGCGATCAAGGAGCTATCTTCGATGTTCTCGGCATTCCTGCAGAAGAAGAGCCAGGCATTTGATGTATACGATGAAATATTTCGTTCGGGATATCCGATTGATACAGCCGCAAGAATCAGCAACCTATATACCAAGTATCTTAAAGACCCTCAAGCTTTTCGTGGCCCATAATAACCTTTAACCAAAGGGGGTAGGAGAACCGTGGGAAGTATTAATTCATGCAACGGTCGGAGTCAAAGTTAGCATGTCGTTTTGAAATGGCAAAAAATGTATGGTCAATCCAAATCTGTCCAAACTTGGGCAGATTGTCCAAAAAATAACCGATTTAGAGGAGCTAGGTAAAGATTAAACAGCTCGAGGTGCGTGAAACATGTACACAAAGCGCTTTTCCAACTAAGGCGAGGTCGCGTTTTACAGCCGGAGCAAACCCGCACAGGGAGTTCGCGAAGCAGGGCCGCCCGGTATTTATGAGGCGGGCCCAGCTCCGGGAGAACCGCGCATTTTACATCCAATCTTTATACTGTTTCGCAGATCCACCATATGAAAAGGCATATAAGCACGCCTATGCATCATCATTACCCATACATCATATAATATTTTTAATTGCAATAGTACTATTTTCGATTTAAAATAGTAATATTATCTCTATATTTCAGAAGTTATGATTATAATTTAAAAATAAATCGGAGTTTTGGTGCCTTTGTTATGCTGTAAGGAAAATGTAGTAAAACGTCGTTTTCAATTTTTGTGAAATCCTATTGCACCAAGCCCAACGTGCAGTTCAAATTACACTGGACATGTTTCTTACCTTTTTGATATAAATTAACAGTTTAGTAGCCTCGATTGGGTGCTTAACTAAATCTGCGGCACCTAGTAGCCCAATTGACAAACATGATGTAGCGTTATAAAGAGGAGTAACAGCTGTTTTTGGCAAGTAAATTACAACACTCGATTCTTGAGAGATTTTAAACAAATATATTCCAACAGTGAAACGTTTGTATAAAGGTCTGTGATTTTGCAAAAACTGGTGTTCTTGCCAGTTATTAATAGTAGCCACCTTGACTTAATCAAACTACACTTTTGCTCACGAGAAAAGGGCGGTACGGGTGACAGGCATGTTGGGAAACAGATACCCTTCAACATCACACAGACTAAAGTGTATGACAGAAATTGATACTGGGATAGAAGCCACTTTAGTGCTGTAGGGAACAGCCCAACAAGGTGGTTCGGTGACATCGCCCTCACTGGTACAGTATATTAATACAAATACCGAAACCATCATTAGTACCTCAAAACGGTAGGATGGTCGTTACTAGTAAATCGATACAAGTACCAAGTCATCAGTACCGAGTGGAATATCTAACAGAACACATATATTATAAATTTTAAAAGGAAAAGAGGGTTGATATTATCTTACAAAAAATGAGTTTAAAATTTGTTTTGCCACGGAAATTTTTGAAAGGTAACAACTTACTAAAATACTAGGCATTAACGCAGTGGGTTGGCCCACCGCGTTAATGCCTAGTAGCCTTACTCGTAAATCGAAATAGATGCCGTCGCATTAACCTGCCTCTTTTAATTCACTGCCGGTGTTTCGCACAAGTACCGGGTACAATGAAAGAGTGGTGTGAATGACAAGATGGATGCAAATTTGAATAGTTTGATGACTGCAAAGACGGAGAACCCCGTCATATCCTGAAGTCGGCTGGTTCTGTAGGTTTCTAAACTAATTTCAAACTCAGATTTAATTCAGTCATTTACAGGCTGTTGTCAAAACTCACTGGCTTTGATCGTTTGTTTTGTTTCCAGTAAGCTACATTGGTGCCGCTAGGATTACCAACGACAAAATACTGTCGTAGCCATTCGAGTCTTCAATTGTTTCCTACGGGTGAATCATACTAAAACTATCGGCAGCACGTATGCTGCGATAGTCGGAGGGCATCGAGCTTTAAACCCTTTCATATTTTTTGGCAACATTTTTTAAAGGGTAAGAATTAACCCAAGGGGGGGGGCAAAATGCCCTCTTTGACAAATTTATCATTACGGGGTGTGAAAACGGCGTGCCAAACAGGGCATTCTGCCCCATTTCGTATATTTTGACCAATCATATTCACATTAGTGGCATTTAACTTGGCCAAAAAATTATAAATCAAGCGACGTCAAATATTTTCGTAAAATTTTCACATTCCTACAAAATTAACGAGCAGCGTGGGGCGCACAAGTTTTGGCGCGAACGAGCATTGGTGCCAGTGCTTAGGGCGCACAGATGGGCTGTGTTGTGCGATGTTCGAGGGCCAACATGGTATCCTATACTGACATGGAGATCTGTTATGTTTTAGTAGTACGGGAGCGTCTTGGCGTCCTTAGTGCAGCGGGGCTGCCGTAGCTTTAGCGTCAGAGGAAGACGTTCGACTCAAAGAGTCACTAATACTAAGCTCCTTGTCCAAAGGAACTTACAGCCCAAGACCAGGGCTCAAAGTTAACACCTTAACTTTTATGCTTCAAAACCAGAAGTGTTTTATTTACTATTATTGCGGCCAAGCCGCCTAGGGGTAAATGTATCTGTTTAACTATCTAGCATAGTTAAACCTAATCAAATGCATAACGTGTGGCTTTCGGCCAACGTACTGAGAGACCTTGTTAACTCTCCAACTTATGTACTGAGAGTTTGTTAGCTCTCCGGGTACTTCGTACCCCTGTGTGTTCCACACCATGTAACCCCGTTACGCTCTCCCCCACTAAGATGAGAACATTCCGTTCTCGAAACTCTCCTCAGCGAGGTCACGTCTTGTTAAGACGGCGGAGGTTACTACACATCACACCAGCGTTGTACAGCTCCGTGAGCTCACAAACGCCTACGCATCGTTGATGCCCAACTTCTCGTCGTCGGCCCACGGCCCAATGCTCCAAGCGCAGCGCGCATCTTGCTCTCAAGCGGTCTCAGACCTACGCTCGCGCTCCGCGCCTACTCCAAGAGCTGCAAACCGCTTAGAGCAATGCTCTTGACTCATTCGAGTCGTCGACAGCAGTTCAGCGGTTGAACACTCGCTTCACAAGCGACAGGTCGGTGGTTCGAACCCACTAGGGCACAGCCCTCTCGTTCCATGAACGATTGTTCACGCTTGGACAAGCTTAAAGGCAACACCCTTTTAGCTCAATGGTTGAGCGTTGGCTTTGAGAGCCAAAGGTCGGTGGTTCGAACCCACCAGGGCACAGCCCTGTCGTTCCATGAACGATTGTCCACGCTTGGACAAGCTTAAGAGCAATCCGCTTTTAGCTCAGTGGTCGAGCGTTGGCTTTGGAAGCCACAGGTCGGTGGTTCGAACCCACCAGGGCACAGCCCTCTCGTTCCATGAACTGTTGTCCTTGAATGGACCAGCTTAAGGGCAACGACCTTTGAGCTCAGTGGTCGAGCGCTGGCTTTGGAAGCCACAGGGCGGTGGTTCAAATCCACCCGGGCGCAGCCCTCTCATACCATGAGTAGTCCGTTCTCGGACTGACGTACGGGCATCGCCCTTATAGCTCAATGGTAGAGCTTCGGCCTGTCAAGCCAAAGGCCAGTGGCTCGATCCCCGTCCGGGACACCACTTTCGCTGTTACAGCGCATCCACATTTGGATCATGCTCATCGAGCAAGTTGTTTCAAAACAACTATGCGTCTATCGAGACGCTTGTGCCTGAACCTTGTTCAGCACAGCACGAAGCACCTGCTTCCTTCGGGGCCATGTCCCTAACACTACGAGGTCTCTCCACCTCCTGCTCCCGCTGCGAGCACCGCTCATACGTACGAGCTGGCTGCTGCAGCCACTGGTCAGAGCCTGAGCTCAGCTACTGAATTGATCGCTCCCCACTCTAGTGGGAGGCGCCCAGCGCCTGGCGACGCTGTCGCACGCCATGGTGGCGCTTCGGCACATGATGTGCCCGGTCGTAAGCGTCAACGACGTCAGGGCAATCTTGCCGGAGAATAACCTCAAACTCCCATGAGTTCTGTGAGTGAGGGTAACCCCTCCACTTCACTAAGTACTGGGTACGACCCTGGCGTCTACGCCACGCCACAAGGCGTTCCACGTAAAAGTGGAGCTCACCATGCTCATCGAGCAGAGCAGGAGGAGGCCTTGCCTCAGCTGGGCTCTCGCGGAGAGAGTCAGCACTTGCCGGAACGGCGTCTGCGTCCATACGACGCCGGCGTCCACGACGCGAACGCTCACGTTCACCGCCCATCGGTCGATCTCGAAGAGATGATCCACCTTGTGGATAGGTTAGAGCCACCACTGCTGACTCACAACCAGGTCTCGGACCTTGAGCGTCCAGTCGCTCGGCTGAACGTTCAGCTTGCCTTGCTCCTGCATCTCGAGCACTTCGCTCCGCGACCTGTGGCTCTGCCACATGCTGTTGATCAGCCATCTGTGGATCCATCACTTGCTGTCGTTCAGCCTCCCGTGGCTCTACCACCTGCTGCCCTGCAGCTGTCCGTGGCCCAGCCACCGTTGGTGCCAACGCCTCCGCGCTCACCTGAGCAGGGTCTTGGTATGGCTTAAGCAAGCCGACATAGAAGACCGGATGCGTGCGCATCTTCTTCGGAAGGTTGAGCGTATACGCTAGGCCATTCCTGGCCACGACCTTGAACGGTCCTATGAACCGAGGTCTTAACTTCGTCTTGAAGACTGCAGACACTGCATGAGTAGGTAGGTTTTTAGCGTTTAATAAAACTTGGTCACCGACCTCAAACCTCTCAACATTGCTCCTGCCCTTGGCATCTGCATGTTCCTTCTGCGTGTCTTGGCTTTCAGCCATAGCGTCGCGTACTTGACGCATTACGCTCAGTCTCAAAGAGACAAAGTCATCGACTTGCTTGCGAACCGCAACAGGGCTGACATCAGCTAGCCGCTCGGCTATCCCTCCCCCACCAAGCCCTGAGCCACTGCGTGGCGGCGTCAGTGGGACGCGAGGGCTAACCAAGCCGTTCACATAGAACGGAGTGTAGCCTGTCGAGGCGTGCACTGCATTAGTTAATGCGAACTCAACGAGTGGGAGCATCTGGCTCCAGCGTTTTGGCGCCTCAGCGCATACGCTTCGGAGGGTATCCTCCACAACGCGATTCACGCGTTCGGTTTGACCATCGGTCTGCGGATGGTCCGCTGTGGACATGTCCAAACGAGTGCCGAGCACTCTGAAGAGAAACGTCCAGAAATTCGCGGTGAAGCGCGGATCTCGATCCGAGACAATTGCCTCAGGTAAGCCATGTTGGCGAAAGACTCGGTCTAAAAACAGCAAAGCTGTACCTTCACCATCAATGGTGTCCGGCACTGCCGCTAAATGAGCCATCTTGCTCAATCGGTCTACAAAGACCACTATACCTGTGTTTCCCGCCTTATCCTTGGGAAGGCCAAACCCAAAGTCCATACTCATGGACTGCCAGCATCCCTTGGGGTCAGGCAAACTCGCCAATGGCGCTGCCGTGCTCGGCGCGGACTTTGTCCGTTGACACGTCTCACACGTGCGTACATAGGTGCCGACCCACTTATACATCTTGGGTCACCAGTACATCGAGCTCACCGAGCCATAGGTCTTCTTTCGACCTAAGTGCCCGCCCACGGGCGTATCATGAACCTCATAGAGGATTCGATACTTTAGATCCTCATCATGAGGAACGACTACACGAGGGTTATCCTCAGCGTCGGTGCTGTAGTACAGCAGGCCGCCATCGAGTGAGTATCGATGCAGCCTCGCGCGTAAGCGCCCAGACAATTCCTTGTCAGAGTCTTTAAACTCTTCGCTCCCAAGAGCCCGTAGCAGCGCTACGCACATGTCGTCTTGTGCATACGCTCCGCGTATCAAGTCAGGCACCGACGACGTCACTGTCGTGACATGAGCTAACTCGTAGTCCGGCCTGCGCGAGAGCGCATCGGCCACTACATTAAGCCGCCCCGGCTTGTACTTCACCTCGAAGTTATACTCGGCAAAGAAGGGAAGCCATGTTGCCATTCTCTGAGAGAGATGAGGCGACTGTGTCGCACTGCGTAACGACGCATGATCAGAAAAGATCACAAAAGGCTTAGACCCTAGCAGGTGTACCCTGAATTTGACTAGAGCATACTTCATTGCAAGTAGCTCTTTGTCATGAACTGGATAGTTCTTCTCTGCAGCTTTGAGCTGGCGAGACTTAAACGCGATCACGCGTTCACGCCCTTCGGCGTCTGCTTGTAGTAAAGCACAACCGATTGCAAAATCGGAGGCGTCACAGACGACGCTAAACGGACTATCCGGGTCCGGTAGCGCAAGGATCGGAGCCTGGAGAAGGCTCTTCTTCACAGCCTCAAAGGCTCCGTCGTGCTCGACGTTCCAGCACCATGGTGCGTCCTTCTTAAGGAGATCTGATAATGGCCGAGCCATCTCCGCGTAGTTCGCACTGTACTTGTGCAAGTAATTGGCTAAGCCTAGCCACTTGCGTAAGTCTTTTTGGTTCTTGGGAACCGGCCAGTCCACGATGGCCTTGACTTTGGCAGGATCTGCCCGTAAGCCACGCTTCCCAATGAAGCACCCGAGGAAAGGTATCTCCTCCGCGCCAAAGACGCACTTGTCCAAGTTGGCATACAACTTATTAGTGCGCATGCACTCGAGCACCGCTCGCAAGTGGTCAATGTGGTTATCCACGTCTGACTTTCCGTGCTCGGCACGACTATGGACGAATATATCGTCAAAGTACGTTTGAGCGTACACCCGGTGGGGCCTAAACAACTGCGTCACAAGACGATTGAACGTTGCTGGTGCGTTCGACAGCCCCTGGGGCATCACCAGCCACTCCCAGAGCATACCGCTCGGAGTACTCACCGCTGTCAGCGGAATGTCGCTCGCTCTCATGAGCAATTGGTAGTAGCCATCGACCAAGTCGAGCGCGCTGTACAACGTACAGCCTACCATGTTGTTCTGCAGAACATCCTTGCGTGGAATCGGCGTTTGCGCCGGGATAGTGGCCGCATTTAGCTTGTTAAAAGCATGAACAATGCGCCACTTGCCGTTCGGCTTTCTAACACAGAACGTGGGTGTCGAGTGCGGAGACTTACTCTCACGCACCATCCCTGCCTCGTGCTTCGCACGGAAGAATGCGTCAATGACGTCACACTGCTCTCTCGGCAAAGGCCATTGCCTTGTTACGCAGTATTTGGTTCCAGGAACCAGGTCAATCTCATGACACACGCCTCGATCCGGAGGCAGGCCCGTCGGTGGGTCTTTTGAGACAACGTCTCCATACTCCTACACCACCGGGTAGAAGGGATCCGAAGGATCTTTGATGATCGCCGATCTACTTCTTGCGCTCAGCGCCTTCTTAATGTCCTCTAGGACCGCGTCGTCCACGACGGATGAGGAGTTCAACTCCTCCTCAGGTCCCAGCAAGACCACCTCGGCTAACTCGCCTGCCTTTAAGGCTTCGCCGAACTCGGCAATGGACATCTCGTCCAGCTCTAGCAGAGCATCTGCAGCGGGCAGAGTGTCAAGGCTGATATCGCCTTCTACCTCCCCCGTCACTCCGTTCACGAGTGTATACAGATGTTCACAGCAATCACGTGGAGCATCACCGCTCGTCACGTTGGACACATCGTCCGACGTCGAAGACGTCACAGACGCCCTGCGTCTTCTTCTCCTCTCCCTCCGCGACCGAGCCCGGCCGGATGAGGGCGGTGTGGCGACATCTCCGTCACCACCACCGGGTGCAGCAGCACCATCACTCCTCGAAGAGGATACAGTGTCTCGCAAGACACTTGGCTGAAAGCCAAGAGGTTCTTGACCTTCACACAGTGAACTAGGTGTCACTTCACCTGCATTTCCTGGGCCACGCCCATGATACCTCGACTCGCAGTCGACCGCGACCCTCGAATCACGCAGCGGTAGGTCATCGACCAGATTCATACCACTCAGTGGATTACGCGCCACTCCGCGCTCGTCCTCACCAGGACCCAGCAGTTGGTCATTGACCTGACCTGCACCGCTCCGCGGATAACGTGCCGCACCACGTACGCCCTCAGGGCAAACAGCAACCTCGTTGCTAACAATTTCGGACATACCAATGTCCAGCACTACGGCCGCCTCGG